AAGTCAGTGGTAAAACTGGGATTTTTCTTTTTAGCGTATAATACAAGCAAATTCCTAGAAAATTGCTTTGCACATTGTAAATATTGGTGATTTTTAAACTTCATTTATTACTCTTAATGCTATAACTATTAAATTTTATATAGCTGGTACCTGAAAGGCATAACATTTTAAAGTCCTATTTCTAAGATGACTTAAAATAGATACAAAAATCTATTATGATCTAGTTGATCAGATATCTTAATTTTTCCCCAAAGTGTATTTGAGAAAAGCCAAAGAGAAGATCTGTAAATAAAAGTTTATGGTCAATTAAGTGCGGAAAATGCTGTATAGTTCATTCTTCTCCTGGAGATTCACAAGAAACATTAGCACATCAAAGGCTCTGAGATGTCTCCCAGTAAAGAAAACTGTTCATCTAATTTAACCCAAAGTTTTCAAATGCATTTCTTGAAGAAATTCTTTCTCCACACAATATTTATGAACACCTCTTGAAATCATTGTGCTGAGGAAAACATTTGGGAAAAAAATGAATCTATTGAAATTCCTCTTCCCAATTGAGCATGTCATGTTTTGACAGGTCTTCTTTTTCTGTCAACTCAACTCCCCACTGTGGATGTGCTGTGAAATGACAGGGCTGACAGTAAAATTTTTCTGACACTTAACTGGTAAACCTAAGTTTCTCTCAGGCTTTTCTTGCTACAGCACAGCATTGTTTCTACTTCCCTTCACGATGCAGTCACAGGTAAAATTTCAACCCTTTCCTGGAACTCCTGCTCGTAGCATTTCTCAGATTTCCTTATAGACCTTATCTTCCCCACCATTCAATGGCCTCTAAAGTTTCACTGACTCTAACTTAGACCTTATTGAGATCTGATTTGTCATGTGCTTATGACTCCACAATTAAATTATAAGTTACTTAGTGTCTGGAGATATGCACTGCACCTCTGTGAATCCCTACAAGAGCGTGAACAAAGAGCACTGCTCATTCACTCATTCATTCCTTCAACAAATATGCATGGAGCACGTCCCATGCACAGGTACTGTTCTCAGGGCTGGGGCATAGCAGTGCCCCAGCAAGGCTATCATTTTTACTCTGCTGGAGCTGTCATTGCACTGGGGGAGACAGATAAATAAGTGTTTGAGTAAGCACTTAATACAATGTCAGATAAGAATTAGGGGTGTGAAGCAATAAGGGATGTGAAAGAAGAAATGAGGAGCGGTTACCTCAGCTTGGAAAGGCCTCTCCAAAGAGGGGCTATTTAAGTTGAAATCTGAATAACAGGAAAGAGTCAGCCTTGCAAAGAGAAGGTCAGAAAGAAGAGTGTTCTAGATGAGAGGGAACAAACAGGGTGATGGCTGGAGGCTGGGTGAATTTGCTAGGTCAGCGAAACAGCAGTAAGGCCAATGAGGCTGAAGCCTATGTCATGGTAAGTCAGGGGAATTGTTAGGAGATCAGCTTCGAGTGGTGGGTATGTGCTAGACTGTGGTAAGGAACTGGACTTTATTTTAGGTGATACGGAAGCTATGGAGCGTTGCAGGCATGGGGATGACCTAAGTATGTTTTCACAATGTTAAAAGACCAGTCTGACTGCAGGGTAACAAATGAAATGTAGGGAGTCAAGGGAGCAATCAGGAGGCCAGGTGCAGGTTCTTTTAGTAGCTGAGGCAAGTCATGATGGTGATTTAGAAAAGGGTGGTGGCAGGAGAGCCAAGGAAGTGGACAAGTTCTGTATGTACTTTGGTGACAGAGAGCAGGATTTGCTGCCTTGAGCAAACTAGAGGATGTGATATTTCCTAGATGGGGAGAGATGGGGGTGGGATTCCTCCCAGGGAGAGAAATGACCCTGGGAAGAAGGGTGGGGACAGGAACCAAAAATCCTTTCTGAGCATGTTAAGGAAGGTTGAGTCTGTAGGACATCCAGGGATATGTGTCGGTTTTACCTGATTCTGAAGCTCAAAGGAAAGGGCAGGTCTAGATACACACATTTGGGAGTCACTGACACAAAAATAGTATTTAAAGTCATGAGACCACATGAGATCATCTAGGGAGAAAATGTGATCCCAAAGCACCTCAAAATTTGGGAGTGGTCCAGGAGAAGAGGAGTGAACAAGAGAGAAGGAGAGGAAGAGAGAGAAAGGGAAGTCAAAACAGTAGACAGAAACCCAGCAGAAGGTGGTGTTGAGAAGTCCAAGAAAATAAAGCACAGCTGGAGAGAAGGAGTAGTCAGCTGAGCGAATGCCAAAGATCTACATGAAGACAGGGGAAGAGCCGCTGGGTTGGTCAACATGGAGGCAGTCAGAGCAGGGGCAGGGAAGGGCTGATGCCTGGAGCTGGGAAGAGTGGGTTGAAGGAAGAATGAGAGACGAGGACTGATAAACACTCAACATAGACTAACTCTTCAAGAAGTTTTGCTGTGAAGAGGAGCAGAGAAGTGAGGCAGCAGTTAGAAAGTGCATTGCTTTCAAGAAAGGGCTTCTTCCCCCAACCCCAAGATGGGGGATACTGGAGTTTAGCTCTACAGAATCCAAAGGAAAGAGGAAGGATGTAGAAAAGAGAAGGACTAACTGAACACTCAAATATTTGTATACTTATCACAGATTTTTTAAATGCATTTGATTCACATTAGACTGAATAGGAAGTTGTTTTCCAACCTATGAGTTGTAATTGTGACAATCTACAGGAAATAAAACTGAGTGGTAATAATAATAACAATATTAACTTAATTTGTGTCTAGGGCTTATTATGTGCCAGGTATTGTTTTATGTGCATATTAGCTTCTTTATTCCTCCAAATTACAATAATTATTCTCACATTACACTTAATGAGGAAACTGAGCTACAGAGAGATTAAGTAACTTGTCTAGTGTGGTATAGGCAGAAAGTGATGGAACCGGGATTCACACTCAAATAATACGACTCTGAAGCCTTCACGACCAGGATCAAGTGGAAAAGGTTTTACACGTGCTGGCATTTCCTCAGTTCATGACATGTTTTATGATTCACCTTCTTTCAGTTACCTCTTCCTTCTTTAAGAGTATGTGGTTATAGAAAAGAATGAAAGCGAATTATTTTTCAACTCTTTCTCTACTTGGGGCAATCTTAGGAGATGGTCAAGCTAATAGATGTGGGCAGCAATTCCATCACAACTGTTTGTTTCAGAATATTTTATAAACACTTACTGCACATTAAAATACAATATATTTTCTAAAGTTAGTATCATTTTTTCCATTCAAGTATTCCTTCTATAAACACATTTGATGTGCATTTATATATTTCTTTAATGGCTATATGGTATTCAATTGTTGAGACGTACCACAGTTTATTTAACCCATCAAATATATATGTGTATGTGTGCTTATGTATTTATATCAGAAGTCCAAGTTCTTGGCAGAGAAATTAGAAAATGCAGCTTAGCAAAAAGAACTCCACTCATTCTTTCATTTTATAAATATTACCGAGTGTCCATTTTACGTCACGCAACCATTATAAATCATGCTTTCTAATACTATTTAAAAGCATGAGGAAATGCAAAGGAAAAACTGCAGGATATAAAAGTAGATGGAAAGTATGTGAAAATTAGTAAAAAAATAATTAAATCACACATACACACACATGAGAAGTGGGGGGTGAAAATGTAAGCAGTAGTTATTTCTGGGTGGTGAGATATTAAGGATGATTTTTATTTTCTTTTGCTTGTCTCTTCCCCATTATTTTTCCATAATGAACATATATTACTTTAACACTCAGAAAAATGTTATTTCAAAAATTAAATATTTCCACATATTACTCTGAGAGCACATGCATTACCAGACATCTGATTTGAAGCTAAAATGGAATCCATTAAGATAGTAAGGCACAGGGGATATGAGGACATTTTTATTATTTCAATTACTCAATAATAATGCTCCAAATTATTCCACTGCCAGGAATACTGTTCAGGATGTGTCTGTGTGTGTGTGTGTGTGTGTGTGTGTGTGTGTGTGTGTGTGTGGTGGTGGTGAGTATATATATGCGACGACGTCGTACCGTAAC